AAGGAAGTATTTTCTTCAGTAATCTTTTGGACTTCCTTTTCCATTTGGCCAATTTTGCTAAAAAGACATACATTTAAAGACATGACTAATGAGGGAAATTTGTTTTGCCAGACTATGTAGATATATATTGAACAATTTGGTTTTTTTGGTTCCATTGTATGTTTTTTTTAAGTTGTCCCAGGGGAGAGAACAGCAGGAAGGACAGGTTAATTAAACAACAACAAAAACAATAAAAAACAACAACAAAAAAACAAAGGCTGTTTTTGAAAAATGAAAAAGCAATCTTAAAAAGAATATAAGTTCCTGTATGTAAGATCTGGGACTGTTTTCATTTTTTGCATTTGCACAGCTAGCGTTTAGCACTTTTAGCAAGGTTAAGTACTTAGGGCGTTTTCATTCATTCATTCATTCATTACGTAATGTCACCTATTAGAATGCAAATTCCTTAAAGGCGGGGAGTCGTCTTTTGCTTTTGCATTCCCAGCCCTTAACTGTGTCAGGTACTTGGTGAAAACTTAATATTCATTCATTCGGCAGTTATTAAACAAACCCATGAACTAGACTCGGTACTAGGAGTTGGGGGTGTGTGTAGATAAGGCAGTTCCTAGTCCTTTGGGAACTTAGTAGGAAGGTGACAGTAACAAGGACATGTTGACCAGGGTGTAAAGAGAGAAGGATCGGGAGAAGGAACGTGGGTAGATGTACTCGAAAAGGATTCAGCCCCGCCAAGGGAAGGGTCTATGGAGGGGGGAGCCATTGAGCTGCAGTCATTTATAGAGACCAGGATAAATTCTAAAAGGACAATGGGGGTGGGGGGAAAGGTCATGCATACTTGTTTCCGTGGGAGAATCTACCAGGGAGGGACCAGGCAGGGTCTGAGGTTACACTGTGGGTCTCCTTTACAGATGGAGTGATGCTAGCGGACCCAGACTACCTGAAGGACCGAAAAGGTGAGGAACCTCAGGGACTGGAGCTTCAGCTAGATCAGGGGTGGGGAACCTGTGGCCTCCAGGTTGGTCCTCAAGTTGGGCCCTTTGACTGAATCCAAACTTCACAGAACAAATCCCCTTAATAAAAGGATTTGTTCTGTAAAACTTGGACTCAGTCGAAAGGCCTCACCCAAGACCCTAGAAGGACACACGTGACCTCGAGGCCGCAGGTTCCCCAACCCTGCAAGTTAGGTACGGATCCTGAGCTAAGGATGGCGTTTCCCACAGACTATGGGATGGCCCCTTTAAATTGACTATCTAGCAGAGTATTGCTACTTCTCGCGAGATTTCCTGGGTAGTTTAGCCAACCGTAATGAAGAAAAAGAAAAAAAAAATTCCGTAGTTGCCCTGGGCAACCGGGAGGCTGCCGAGAAGTGCGGAAAGAATTGTCGATCTATAGAGTCCGACCCAGGTTCTCGGAAAGGATGGGGCGGATCTCTGGGCTGGTGCCCTCTCGTTTTCTAACGTTGCTAGCTCATCTGGTAATCGTCATCACCATCTTCTGGACGCGGGTAAAATAACTCCCTTCACTTTCTCGGGGTCACCCCGCCCCCTTTCCCAGGCCCAGGGTTTCAGCGGGTGGCAGACGTCGCGCGCGCCAATGATCGGCCTGAGCTACCGCTCTCCCCGGGCCTGCATCTGCGCCTGCTCTTCCTTTACGTCCCAACCCGTAGCTTCTCTTGCGCTTGAGCTTGCGACCCTTAGCCACTTCTCTACAGAAAGGTGCCACCCTCCCCCCACCCCTTTAACGAGTTACTTTTTCTGCTCTCCCCAACCGCAATCCGGAAGGGCCGTCTGTCAGAGGCAGAGCTTGGTGCATCCCGAACCGCTCCTATCTAGGAAATCTGGCTTTAGGGTTTCGTATTTCCGTTGTGTGACTTTAAGGATTCCTGGTCCGTGGACCTCCAGCAAAAGGAAGATGTTGGCTTGTTTAATAAACTGGTGATCTCTCAAGGCCCCCTCTCTAGCTTCAACACTCCGTGGCTGAATGGGAGGGAGGGGAAGGGACAGACCCTGGCTGCCCTGTAACTATCATTACTCTTCTACCCTGGCTTAAAAACCCTGTTTTATTCCTGCTCTTCTCCACTCCTCTTCCCTAGGACAACAACATCCAGGCCAGTCTGCCTCCCCATTTCACGTCCGAGGAGTATGAGAAGGAGGACTCTAAGTGAGCCAATCAAGGGTTGGGTGGGCGAATGTGGGAGGCCTCCCCGTCCCCCACTTTAGGGTGGGGTGGGAGAGTCAAACCATCTTGGAAAAAGAGCCTGGAGGAGGGAGTGGGCCCCTGGTTGGGAAGGGTAGACTCCAGGACCCCTCTATCCCTACATAGGCTGGTCACTGCTCTCTCCATTACACTGGGCCTTTTCCTGGTAGAACTAGCAGGTTTCTTTTCAGGCGTGTCCATGTTCAACAGCACCCAGAGTCTCTTCTGTATCCTTTTGGCCTACTCTTTCCCCTGGTGGCCAGTGGCCAGTGACTCCGTGGATTGAAGGGTGCTGGGCCTGGGTGGGTGGGGGGAGAGGGGTATCTGAAGTTTAAATTGACCTTGGCACAAGATGGAGCCCCTTCTAACATGGCGGTGACATAAAGAGGGGTCGGGGAGGAGGAAGGAAAGAGAATTGAACTTCTCTGCTCCCTAACCTGACTTAATTTGCTGGCAGAGTAAACGCAGCTTCCCTTCCCTCCCCGGCCCAAGGCCTAGGTCCTGCCTGGGTACCGCCCACCTCTCCCAAGCCTGCTGGGAAATGTAGTTCCAGTGTTTCGTTTCCCTGACTCCGCCGAAGCTATCGGGGTGCACTGTTGCGCAGCGGTGTCTTTGGCCTTCTTCATCTTCGAGAGTTGGGAGTGCTCCACCTACTGGTGCATCTTCGCTTTCTGCAGGTGCGGCTGGTAGGGGCAGCTGCCCTAGACTTCGGAGAGGCTGCCCCCGAGGGCTGATCCTGAGCAGGGTGTGGGTACTGGGAGTGGGCTATCTTTGTCACAAGGAAGTCCTTGATCAAGCCTCCTCCCTCTCACAGTGTCCTCCCAGCTTGCACTGAAGTAATGATGTTCATCGCTGTCTTCGTGTTAAAGAAAAAATCTTTCTGACCGTCTTTCCACAAACGTGGAGCGGAAGACGGAGAAGGCTTTGCAGTCGGCTTTCAGTGCTTGGGGGGAAAAATGGGAAGACTGTACCCTCGATGGAGTTTAGGGGACTATTGGCAGTGTTCTTATCCCTCCGAGTTTTGGCACAATGACATTGTATATAGTACTTTATAATAAAATCCAACTTTTGTACCATGACTAAAGCTGGTGAAACCAGGTACAGGGGGACGGTCAGTGTTGGCCATACACAAGGGGAAGGGGAGAGTGGGATGTGCTGGAAGGGGAGCCTGGCGTTTTCCCATCCACTCCAGGACCTTAAAGTTACTGGTGCTCCTTCTTTTTAGATGATTACGGTTCAAATCCCAGGAAGGGGCGGGGCCGATTTATGCCAGGGACAATGTGCGTAATTCCTGGACAATGCGCAAACCAGGATCAGGAGGCTTCTTACCCTGTGGAACTCTGAGTGAAGAAGCTGAAACTGGCTCCTTTAGATTCTATTTGGGATGAAAATGGATAGAACAGCCCCTCATTATTTATGGGCTTGGGGAAAGACCGTGCAGAGTATTATCATTGGGTAAATCAGAGTTAGAATGTCCTACATTTGACTCCCAGAAAAATATTCCTTATTGTTAGTAAGGTGTGCCCTGAATGGATGTGACTTCTTCCCATCTGTAAAATGGGCAACACTTATTACTACCCGAGTTATGTGTCATGGTGGACAAACCGGGTACCCTTGAACACTTACTAGCTGTATGACCTTGGAAAAGTCATTTAACATTTTTTTAGCCTCAGTCTCCTCATCTGTGTGTAAAACGGCGTTATTGTGAGGAAGTGGGTAAATGGTATCCCCTCTCTACCAGGGAGTTGAGTCGAATTCATTTTTATGGTATACCCCAAATCTTCATTCTTTCCAACAGGATTGGGGTGAGACATGCCACTCTAGAAGGTAAGAGTAAGTGACACTCCCCTAGGAAAGATTAATGGTGGCTGAAGAAAAGATAGGAGGAAGCTTAGCACCTTGAATCAATGAGATATAATTACAAGAAACATCAGAGCCAGAGTCTGCATTTGTGTTCCAGTTCTGTTCTTTGTTATCTTCTGGATTTGGGGTATTATTTTTACTACACTAGTGGTTTCCTCATTTCAGAAGGAAGGCATTGGCCTAGATAAGCTCTAAGATTACTTCCAGTTTTAAATTTCTGGATCTTAGGTTTGAAGTGAAAATAAATATGAAGAAAGTTAAAATAAGCATGGCACTATTCTATCCCTGAATGTGACAAATATCTTTTAAAATAAAGGCAAAAAGAGGTTGAGAACCATGGGTTTTGGACTTTCTTGCTAAACTTTTTTTTACCTCTTTTGTACAAGGAATAGTCATTCCTTATATTCCTGTCTAAAAACAGAGCAGGGAAGAATACGTTGGGCAATATAGGTAATGTAAAAACGGTAACAATAAAAACTTGCCAATAAAGACAATAAACAACAAGCATTCGATGTCAACGATGTGCTAAAGTAGGAATCATGATAAAAATGCTAAGATTGATATAGCAGTCCTTCCTAAATTGTTTCTGTACTCTTAATATCTTTTGTCTATGTGACACTTCTCTGTGCACATTATTCATTTGCTCCTCAAGACAACCTTGTGAAATAGATGTTATTATTAGCCCCTGTTTCAGAAATGAGAGCTTAAGTGGTTCAGAGTCTTTCAGCTAGTAGATATCTGAGGCAAGACTGGAACTTAGATCTTTCTGCCTCTAAGTCCAAAACTATTTACTACCCTGAAAGACCTTTCTAAGCTACTTCACCCCCCAAAATTATTTTCTATAATGCCTCGGATAGTCATCTGATTTCCACTCACCCTCGAAGGTATAAGCTTTGTGGTAGAAGAACACTAGACTTGGGAGTCAGGAGTCAGGTAAGAAATTCAGCCATTTACATTCTCCAGTCAAGTCTACTAAGTATCAAATGTTTTATTCAAAGCCCTGGGCCAATCCTGGGTGTACAAAGAAAGGCAAAAACTCTCAAGGAGTTCACAGTCTAATGGGAGATAAACAGCTCGGAACAATTATAAACAATTAGGAACACACAGAGTATGTAGAAAGCTACCTAAGAGAAGAAGATATATTTATTTAAACATGTGCCTTATTCTTGCCCTAAGATAATGTGGACTTCATTGGATTTAAGCAAAAGATCTGGAGGAAAACTCTGGCTCTGTCACTCACTACCTGTGTCCTTGAGCAAATGACAATCTCTCTGGGCATTAGTTTCTTCATCTGTAAAAAGAAGGAGTTGGATTAGATGGTTTCTAAGGTGATTCCAATGCTAATATCCCATGATCTTATAACTGTGTCTTAAGTTTCATCTGTTTATCCCCCAGGAACTAACTTAGCACCTTTGCCCATCATAGGCACTTAGTAAACACTGTTGCATTTAACTGAAAGACGGCAGTAATGTTTCTAGCCTAGATAGTAGGAAAGTTGCTTATATCATTGATAGAAATAGGGAAGTCATGAAGACCATCTAATTTTGATGGGAAGATGCTAGATTGTTATCCAGGTAGCTATGTCCCACAGATAGTTGGGAATATCAAACTGGAGATCAGGAGAGAGGGCAGGGATACAAAAATAGATTTGGGAGTCATGTATATATACAAACTGGTGATTTTAGCCCAAGAGAAGAAAGATGATCTCGTGGGGTGAGAGCTAAAAATGGGCTACCTCAGAAAGTATCCCATCAACTAAGGATGTTCCATCGAGGCTAGATGACCACTTGCCAGGAATGTTGTAGACAGAGTTCATGTAACCAGGTAAGAGAAAGATCTCCCAACTCTCAGATCCTAGGATTACAAATCCAAATTTGAATATAACTATATTTCACAAAGCTAAAATATATTGTGTTAGGAATTAATTTTAACCAATATACCTAGCATATAGATTAGCACTGAGACTACACTATAATTAATAAATTATCAATTTGATACTAACAACTCACTTTATATAGTGTTTTAAGGGCCTTATTTATGCACTCACAACAGTAGCACACTGACACTACGTTCTCTATATAGTGCATAGCACTATACCATGCACAATTAGGAGTAACAAGTGCTTCTTGGTGATGACACAACACAGAAAGAAGAAACTGAAGCCTTAGACACTTATTTACTATACTATTGTGAGAAGAGCCTTGCTGATAATCAGAAAATTGAATTTTAATCCTGGGCAGCAATTTTTGTCTTATGCAGGCAGCTCGGTAGAATCTTAGATAGAGTATTAGACTTGAAGTGAGGACGATGAGTTTGAATCCTGCCTCAGGCACATGCTAGCTATGTGACCTTGTGCAAGTCACTTGACCTCTCTCATTCTCAGTTTCCTCATCAGTAAAATGTGGTTAATAATAATACCTACCTCTCAGGTTTGTTGTGAAAACCTAATTAGCTAACATATGTAAACAAACCTTAATACATTATATGTATGCTAGCTACTGGTAGCACAAGTAGGTGGCACAGTGGATGAGAAACTACAGCCAAGAGAAGCTCCAGTTGGGTAATGCAGCTTCTTCCCTTCTTCCTTCTTCCTCCTCTTTTCCTCCCCTCCCCTCACCACTTGGAGTGAATGTAAATAGCAATTGTTTCTGTTCTGGACAGAAACCCTGAATATCTTCCCCTCTCAAATTGATTTTTTTTTTTTTAACTAGGTCGAAGGGGCCATTCTCTAGCTCATTTTTTTACCTAGCCTTAATCACCGAATGGGTGTTACCTCAAACTGAAACTTGTTAAAAACCTTAGCTTAAAAAGGCCAAGTTCTCCCAGTCCATCCAGGGTCATCTCCAGTCATCCTGATCTATATCTTGCCACTGAATCCAGATGGCTCAAGAGGAGAAAGTGAGGCTGGTGACTTTGCACAGCTCTCCCTCACTTAAATCAAATTTACTTGCAAGTCATGGCATCACCTTCATGATGTCATGGTCTTCTTGGAGAACGAAGAAGAAATAACAAATGTGAAATGTCCAATATTCAAGTGGTGATATGGATTTGCAGCTCAGGGGAGAAACTGGGAATGGGTATATAGATCTGTGAATCATTGACATACAGATAAATAAACCCACAGAAGCTGATGACATTTCCAACAGAGGGAATGTAAAGAAAGGAGTAGGGGACCTAAGACAAAGAATTGGGAACAACCCATGGTTAGAGGACATCAGTGATACTGTGGATATATTACCAGGCCTGGAGTCAGGAAGACCAGAATTCAAATCTGACCTCAGACACTAACTGTGTGACCCTGGACAAGTCACTGAACCTCTGTTTACTTCAGTTTCCTCAACTGTAAAATGGGGATCTCACCTACCTCCCAGGGTTGTTGTGAGGATCACATAACATAATAATTGTAAAGTGCTGAGCACTTAGCACAGTGCCTGGCACATAGTGAGCTAAATGTTAGCTGTAATTATTTTTATTTTGATATGATGAATCAGCAAAGGAGACTAAGCAAGATTGATTAGACTAGTGGCTCCTTCCCTGGAATCCACAGACAACTTCCCCCCCCAAATCAGTCAGTGGATGAATATAAAGCTATCTTGTTTTTTAAAAATGTTTTGATAAGAAGTTCAATATGATTTCATTTGTAATCTATTTATTTTATTTTGTATGCCTAAAAACATTTATCTAAGACAGGGTGCATAGGCTTCATCAAACTGCCAAATGGGTCCATGACACAAAAAAGGTAAAATACCCCTGGTTGAAGAGAAAGAGAAGAAGGGGAGAACAGTGTCACAGAAACCAAGAGAGGAGGGAGTATCCAGGAGGAGAGAGTGACCAACAATATCAAATGGAGCAGATTAGTTAAGAAGGTTTGAGTACTGAAAAAAGACTGTTATATTTGACAATTAAGATATCATTGTTAACTTGTAAAGAATGGTTCCAGTCCAGTGATGAAGTTGGAAGCCAGAATGTGAAGGGTCTAGAAGTGAGTAAACAGAGAAGTAGAGACTGCTAGTGCAGTCAGATTTTTCAAGGAGTTTGCTGAGTAAAGGAGGGAAGATAAAGGATGATAGTTTGAGGGGATGGTAGAGTCCAGTGAAGATTTAAGGATGGGAGAGACTTGAGTAGGTTTGAAGGTAATAGGTGCCTCCCTTACCACTCAGCAAGTAGGGACATTAAGCTTTGATCGTGAGTTCAGCCCTGCTTTGATACTTTAGCCAGTAAGAAATTCAAACCCATACATTTCCTAGGCTCTCCTCTTTCCCATTCTCTGTCTTCCCTTTTCTCATCTGAGTTTCCTGAGGCTTCTACATGCTAAGAAGTCTAGGTCTATAAATCAGAAGAACTAGATCTGAATCCTGAAGCTGCCAGCTACTAGAGGTGTAATGTCAGACAAGTCACTTAACTGCTCTGGGTCTATTTCCTCTTCCTCAAAATGAGTGAATTTCTGTAGTCACTGAGGTGATCTCTGAAATCCCTTTCAGCTCTAAATCCTCTTGGTGCCAATGTAGTCACAGTCACAAGGAGTGGGGATTGGGGATACAGGGATGCTGAAGTCAGATTTAGGGACAAATTGGACTTTCTTTTTCCTTCTGAACCCCCTTGAAGGCTACCTACCTCTTTCTGCAAGAGTGGGGCGTAGTCTTTTTGTTTTGGATGTTAGATCTGGGGGGGGGGTGGAGTGTTGGAGTTAAGTCATCTAGCACAATACAGTTGAAGGCTAGGGTTTTAAAGAATGGGCTAGGTGTGGCTGGAGTCTGTTGTGTAAGGGTGTCCACTTACACTCTTGGAGCACTAGGAAGGTCTGAAATTGGAGTGCTCTAATTTGGGGAACTGTGTTGTCAGGTTGGGTTATGATCTAGAATGTTCATATGTTGGGATTGGGATGTTGAAGTCAAGGTGCATAGTTAGATGTTAAATACTAGAGGTAGGATCTGGGGAGTTGGACTGTCTGAAGTTGGAGTTGTCATTCTAGATGAGTTGTAATGTTAGGGTTCTAGTGTTAAGATCAGGGTTTAAGGTGTTATCAGGCACTGGGGTGAAATTAAATTGAGAATTGAAGTTTGTGTATGAGAGGTTTAAAGTGATGAAATATTGAATTGTTGGAGGCCTGAGAGTTGAGGTGCTGAGGGTTTGAAGTGTTGGACGTTAGGGTGCCATACCCTGAGGTATTGGAAGATTGGGATGTGTTATGTTTGGGGTGAAGTTGGGTTGGGATATTGAAGGTTTAGGTGCTTGGAGTTTGGGGTTAGGGTTAAGGTTTGGCATGTTGGATGTGTGGAAGTTTGGAGGGTCAGGGATGTTAGAGTCTTGGTTTTGGACTGTTGAGGTTTGAAGTATTGGAGTATCAAAGGAGTTTGAAGGAGTAGTATTAAAGGCTGGGGGGTGGGGTTCTGAGCTTTGGTGTTAGAAATTCAAAGCTGAGGCTTAGGAACTTGGGTGTTTTAGGTTAGAGATGTTTGGGACTTGAGAAAATTGTGGGGGTTGGATTGTTGGGATGCTGTAGTTTAGGGGTTGGGATGTTGGGTGTACAGTGTAGTAGCTTTGTAGATTTGGAGATCTGTTGTTGAGAGTGTTGGGCATTTGGGAGCAGGAGGGTCGAGTTGAAGAATTTGGGGGATTGGGGTTGTAGATCTGGGGTGCGGGGAGTTTGGGGGTTGCAGACAGGTGTCCAGGGACAGCCTGAGCATCTTTGGCGAGAGGAGTTTTAGACGGTCCTGAGCTCCTTCTAGGTCAGGATCTTAGGAAGGGGGAGGGGAGGGAAGGAGCAGGGCATCCAACATGGCGGCACCTCAACCCCTTCTCCCAGCTTCCCCCTCCTCCTTTCCTCCCCACTCCCCCGCCCGTCCTGGTCCACGGGTGCCCGGATGTGGGTGACGCGCGGCCGCCATCTTCCCGTCCCCAGGCTCGGCAGCACCATTCGGAGCCAGCGCGAGCCGGAGCCGCCGCCGCCGCTGTCCCCGCCCGCCCGCGCGCCTGCCCGCCCCTGCCATGTGAGTCTGCACCGCCCGGCGCCTGGCGCCGTCCCCGGGCTACCGTGGGCCTCCGTGCACTGCCCGGAGCCATCCTCCCGCTGTCACTCCTTCCACCTCCTCCTCCTCCTCCTCCTCCTCCTCCTCTTCTTCCTCCTCTTCTCCTTCCTTCTCCCCGCAGCCGCCGCCGCCCTCCTGGCCGTTCCCACCCTAGTTCCCCGGGCGCCCTCTGGGAGTTGGGCCCGGCCGTGCCCCGGGGAGGTGCGAGCCCTGGGCTGCAGCCTCTCGCCGCCGCCGCCCGGTCCAGTCCCTGCCCGTCCCTGCATTGTCCATCCTTTGCCCCCTAGCTCGGCCGGCCGCGGGGGCGTCGCTTTTGCTTTTAAAGGAGGGGATGGATTGGGGCCGTTCCAGCCTCAGGAGAGTGAGGGACGAGGAGCTAAAAATACCCGGGCCCCAGGGGTGCCCGGGGGCTGCAGGGCCGCGGTGCGGTGCAGAGCGGAGACCGAGAAGGGGCGCCCCGAGCCCAGCCAACCCGACCCGCCCCTGGAGATTTCCTGTCACCAGCCCTGGCACGGCCACTGGAACCCGGCGTCTTTGCCTCACATGCCTGCCCCAGCCGCCCCGCAAAGTCTCGCAGGTCTTGGCAGCCTCCACCAACCTACCCCCCACCCTCCCAGCCTGAGGATTAGGGGCTTGCCCCCAGTCCCCAGGCTGCCAGGGGCCCTGAGAGGAGGAGGTGAGGAGTCTCACTATCACAGTGCTCGAGCCCAATCCCTCATTCTTCAGGGGGAAACTGGGGTCCCAGAGAGGAGACTCAGACTCAGAATGAGTCTGGAAGGGCTTGCCTGAGGTCTTCTCTTTGGGGGAGAGATCTGGGAACCCGGGAGAGGGGAGACTTGACAGAGTCTGCTGTGAAGGGCTGGATGTCCTTGTGTCAAGACACCTTTGCCACTTACATCCTCAGGTCTGCTCCTGCTACTGCCATGCCCCCTGCTGCCCCAGCAGGAGAAGGGGGCCCTCCTGCTGCCCCCCCAAACCTCACTAGCAACAGGAGGCTGCAGCAAACCCAGGCCCAGGTGGATGAGGTGAGAGAAGTGAAAGGAAGGGGAGTAAGGGCTGTCTGCCTTGTAATCAGTACCACGGACAGCTCACTGCTGTGTGCCTTGAGATAGAGCGTTTGGGGTGGGAGGGAGGTTCGGGTAAGAGGCACAAATGTTTCGTGTCAGCAGTGTTGGACAGCGACCTGTGTCACTGTTGTCGTGCCCCTGGCCACCTGGTAAGTTAGTTGGCGTTGCTCCTTTGCTTTACCCTTCGAGGTCTGGGCCTGGTGTGTTGGGCTGTTGCACATTAGGCATGTTGGAGGTTTGTAGGTACTGGGTAAGTCTCTTTGTTTGTTTTATGCCTTTCTGTGTAAGGGGAGGTTTCTGACCTACACCCAGTGTGTCAGTGAGTTCTGCGAGTATGTACAAGGCATGTACCTAGATTAGCTGCTGGCATGCCCTTGCTTTGTGTCCCTGGTGAGTTCTGTGTATGCATTATGCCTTAAGCATGTGTCCCTGGTATTATTTGCTCTGTGTGTCTGACAACTCCTGTACGTCAGGTTATAGTTAGTCCAAGGTTTGTGTCCCAGTATATGTCAGATGTATGTCCTTGGGGGGTTGTCCTATTTGTGTAATGTGTGAAGCTTTTTCCTGGCATAGTTTGTGACATATATTTGGTATGTTGCTTGTGTGAATCCATGGCATAAACATGTCATCACTCTTGTCCTCCATTGTCTAGGTGGTGGATATCATGCGGGTGAATGTGGACAAGGTCCTAGAGCGGGACCAGAAGTTATCAGAACTAGATGACCGTGCAGATGCCCTCCAGGCTGGGGCTTCCCAGTTTGAGACAAGTGCTGCTAAGCTCAAGCGTAAATACTGGTGGAAAAACCTCAAAGTAAGGAGGCTTGAGGAGGGGATGAGGGAGGTTCTACAGGGTGAGTTAGCCAGGAGAGAAGACTGAGGGAATGGGGTAAAGTGTTCTTTAGGCCTGATCAACACTGAATCAAAACTGTGTGACCTTGGGTCAGTCACTTCTTTCTGGGCTTCGGTTTCCTCCTCTCTAAAATGAAGGGGCTATATTAGGTGATCACTAAGGTTCTTTTTCCCCCTTGATAAACTGTAGTTCTTTCAGGAAATGGTTTGGAGGGTGGGAAGTAGGCAGAGCTTGGTGTTCTGACCTTTTCCTCTATTAACCTGATTATCACTCTCCCCATCCCTCTTCTCTTTCCTTTACTCCTTCCTCTCCCTTTCATTTCTCTTTCCTCCTCCTCTCCCCATTTTCTTCTTTTCCTCATCCTCTCTCCACCTTCTCATATCACCTTTTTTCTCCCTTTCCTCTTCCCTTCCTTCTTTCTACCCCACCCTCCCAGATGATGATCATCCTTGGAGTGATATGCGCCATCATCCTCATCCTCATCATTGGTGAGTAGGGAGTTGAGGGGGGAGGTTCAGATACTATGGCCTAGGAGGAAAAAAAAAACAGTCTTTTCCATTGGCCCCTTGTAAGATCATTGAGTCCCACCAGCATCCCCATAACTTACCCTCCTAACTAAGGCTGATGAAACTCCACCTGAGGGTGGGGAGCTGGGCAGAACTGAGGAGGGCTAAGTGTAGGTGAGAGATTTCCCCAGCTGGGGAGATAGGGACCAAACCTGACTCTAACACTCTTTGGGTCTCTCCACAGTTTATTTCAGCACCTAAGCCCAGCAGGAGCTGCCCCTGCCCGGGAGAGGGCCCCCTTCCCTCCATGGCTCTCCCTCTCTCAGCCATATCTTCCAGCCCCTTCTCCTGTCCCATCTCCGGTGTGTCTGCGTGTGTGTCCCCCCCTTGTAAATAGCCAGCTGTTATTTATACATATATAATATTATATATATTTGGTCTGTTTGTAGTTTTATTACTAGAAGATTTTTTCTGGTTGTTCTTAACTTCTCTCCCCTGCCCATCACCTTTTTCTTTCCCCTAACTCATTCCTCTCCTTTTCTTTTGATCCACAGTCCCCTCATGTGCATTTGCTATGCAACATTCTCTATTCTCCTTCCATCTTCCTTTTTGCCTGGATTTAGCTGTTCATCTCTCCCACCCATCTCTCTCCTCCCAGGAACCCAGGGCTCCCCCTTATTTATGGACTATCCAATCATTATGGACTGTGACAAAGATTCCCTTAGCCACCTTTCCCTCCCCTATGTCTCCTAGGAGCTCTGAGCATTTAAATTAGCATGTCATTTACATAAACCACACCCTTTTTGGTTTGCTTTTCAGTCATTCCTGCCTCCTGACCTGTATTAGGTCTCCTCCTTTTACCTACTAAAGATACCTACGGGTCCTCCAATTTTACCCTTATTTGCACGACATTTACATAAGTGAGGGGTTCTTTGCTTTTAACACATGGGGGCCTGTGGCCTCCCCACTATTCCATTTTTTTCACCATCCATTTCCTTCTAACTCTTGTCTGTCATCATCCTTTCCCAATTCCTCCTTCCCACAAATGCCTCCCCAACTCTCAACCCCACAGCTGGTATGTAAGTGTCTTAAAGTTAAATGTTTTGATGGACCAATAATTCTGCCACTTGGGGGTCTCCACATTCCTACTCCCCATATTTGGTAGGGGGGCTCACTGACATTATCAAAAGGGTCCCCCTCACCTGCCCTCCTGCCCCTCCCACCCCAGCTGGGATGAATTGGGGAACCCTGCTACATTCCGATTCTAATCTAGGAGGGGAGGCCACCAGCCAATAGGGGCTGTCACTGCCGTGGGGAGTCTGGTAAGGGGGCTGAGGAACACCTCACAAGTCCTCCACGGACCTCCTCCCCTCTGAGCCACCTCCTTGTGGGGAACGGAGCTGATAGCCCACCCTGGGGTTCCTGGGAGGGTTTGCAAAGTGCTGTCATTGCCCACCTCCCTTGGATGCCCCCCTGAATTCAAGGAAGGGGGAAATAGTCACTGCCAGAATGTGTTGTTGGGGGAGGAGGAGACATTTTATCCCTTCCTCTCCCCAAGAGAAGAAGGGAATGGTTCCTTTGAGGTCTTCTAGACTGAGGGGAGTTGGTGGTTGAAGGAGGAGGGTCACAAAGTCTTTAAATGGCACAACTTCGGGGGAACGTGGAGGGGAGGATATAGTCCTTTTACTTGCCACTAGATCTCTGTGTTCCCCCATTCCACTTTCTGGGAGGTTGAGGAGAAAGAGAGCTGCCTACTGGGTTGGGGGTGGTGGAGATGTGGGGGTGGGGCTTTGTTTTAGACCCCCCCCATTCACTATCCCTACCCTGTCCCCTTCAGTGCCCCCAATTCTGTGGCAAATCCAGATTGTGAAAATGTACAATAAATAAATGTGTGATGAGAAACCAGATAGTGTGTGTGCATCTTTGTTCAGGCTGGGGAATTTAACTTTCTAAATTGAGGGGGACATGGACATGCTTTGGATATGCAGAGAGTGAGTGGGTTAGACTCCAGCAGAGGGATGGATGCTTAGCTTAAGGCTAGGAAAGGGGGTTGTTGGGAGAGAAAACTAGAGAAAATGGGCAAAGGAGAAGACAGGGCAAGCAAGGCACTGAAGTTCTGACCTGGACCAGGAGGAAATGTAGCTCCAAAGCTAGCCACAAGGAGATGTCATAGAATTGTGTAATGAAAAGACTTTCTTACATTTATAAAATTTTTTCATAGCCATAAATTATATGATTTCCTCACCTCACCTTCAACAACTTTTGAGGTTTGTAGAGCATTATCCTTTGTAGAGGAGGAAATAGGCCCACACAGATGATAGGATTGGCCCAAGATCACAGAGCTATTCCTTATCAAAACCAGGATTTGGAATAACAGACAGGATTTAAAATTTGAAGGGAATTTAAGAGATAATTTAGTCTACCATTCTCCCTTTGCAGATGAAAAAACTAGTCCATAGATGTACAGTCATTTGTCCAAGGTCACACAGGTCACCCTTGGCAAAGAAAAGATTCACAGTGTTTTTAAAAACAAATTCTAAGTTAACAGAGACCTAAAGAGACCATCTTGTCCAATCCATACCTGAAGAAGAATCCTCCAGAAGAAGAATTCTTAACTTATTTTGTATTATAGACCTCTTTGGCAATCTGGTGAAGCCACTAAACCCCTTCACAAGAATAATGTTTTTAAATACCTAAAATAAAATGCTTAGGATTCAAAGAAATCAATTTATATTGAAATAGTTATCAAAATATTTCAACACAAGCATCATGAACCCCAGATCAAGAACCCTTTTTCCACAGTGTCCTCAAGAACTCCAGGGAAGGCAAACTCGCCACCTTTTAAGGCAGTTTGCTTCACTTTTGCATAGCTCTAAATTTGGTGATGTTTTCCTTATATAGAGTTGAAATCTCCATCTGAAGCTTCCACCCATTGTTTCTAGTTCCAAACTAGGCTTCTTAATGCCCTGTTCAGTGTTCTTTCCATTATATCACAGTGCCTCTCTGTGTGATAGAGAAAGAACCACTAGCCCCACCCCCATCCCCAACATACAGGGTGCTTTGTACACAAAATCAGAGGGAGCAGCGTCGACAGCCTAGTCTTACAGGGAAAGGACCTGGATAAGGGAACCATGAGGACACTGAGCAACTGCTTTTCTCGGGGGCCCAAGTATCTACCTTGTCCTCAGTTCCTGGTTCTCAGAACCTTTCCCCCTATATAATCTCTTGTAGTTTCTAAGTTTTGTTGTTCGTTGTTTCAGTTGTGTCATAACCCCATTTAGGGTCTTCTTGACAAAGATACTGGAGTGGTTTGCCATCTCCTTCTCCAGCTCATTTTACAGATGAGGAGCCTGAGGCAAATTGGGTTAAGTGACTTGACCTGGGTCACAAAACTAGCAAATATCTGAGGCCAGATTTCAACTCAGGAAGATGAGTCTTTCTGACTTCAAAGTCCAGACTCTATCCACTGCTCCACCTAGCTGCTCAGTTCCTAGGTTATTGGGCCACCTGTTTATTTATTGATGAGTACCTCAATTCCATTCAATTTACCTTTAGCAGATATAGTGTATATGTACTATATACACTCTGCTTGGTAGTCAGGGATGAAAGCCTGTGTTCAAGGGCCTACTACTTTCATCAGGGAGGTAAAAGAGACCCAACGGATTTCAATACGAAACACAACACAGCAAAGCACAATAAAGCAGAATGTGACAATGCCTTAACTCCTATTGGAAATATTTTCTCCCAGTTAGTGCCCTGTCCCTTCAAAAATTAACTTGTATTTACTTATCTATGTATCTGTTGAATAAACACATAAATACACATCCATAAAACAAAACTCCTTGAAAGCAGGAATCCTTCCCCTCCTATGGCCACTAATCTAGTTCAGGCCTTTATCACCTTTTGCCTGAACAAATTTTTTTTTTCTTAAGGCAATTGGGGTTAAGTGACTTGCCAGCCAAGTGTCTGGTCTGAGGTTGGATTTGAACTCAGGTCCTCCTGACTTCAGGGCTGGTGCTCTATCCACTGCACCACCTAGCTGCCTCTGCTAGAACTATTACAGTGACCTTTTACCTGGCTTCCCTGTCTCAAGAGCCACGAATTACAGCTAGAAAGCATTCAATCCCGGCCATATCCTTCCATGGGGAGGAAGTATTCCACATTACAATACTGTTTACATGACTCAGATGAAACTCATTCAATCATTAAAGATTAAGTGCTTACTATATTCAAGGTAACGCATGAGGCTGGCTACCCTACAAAAACAACATGTCTTACTGATTTGTTGTTAAGGAGCTTAACAACCTATTCAACCTGTTTGCTTTGGTTTTATTATTCTCTACAATGAACAGTCTTTTTCCTAGTTCAGGTCCATACATATCATGAAAACATTGTATGGTTGCTTTGTAAATAGGGATGGGAGATACATATATCAAGGTTCCACTGCAATTCCCTTCATTACGAATATCTTAACCCAACTAATCTCCCAAAGCACCCAAACAAACAATATACAAAATGATTCAGGAACTAAGTGGATCTGGGAGAAAAGTTCAGGTTCTTGAGGCCTTCCCCTACTAGGTTCAAAGCACTTTTTTTCACTTTCACTACAAAGGAGGTAAGAAAGGCAGCCTGGTATAGCCGAATGGGTAGGTACCAGGAGTTGAATTCTGCCTCACAACTTCATAGCTGTATGATTATGGGTAAGTCATTTGAACTGTCAAATCTTTAGTTTTGTCATGTGTAAAATGGAGAAAATAATACTTGCACCCCTCTGGACCTTGGTTTCCTCATCTGTACATTAAAGTATTTTGACCAGATGACCTCTAGATCAGCATCCTCTATAGTCCGTGTGGCAATATAGGTTCTGAACCTATTAACATTGAAAGAAATCCCAAGTCTCAGATCATCAAAAGTATTATTGGCTTGTGTTTCTAGATTTAAAGGTGTAAAGACTGCAGAGGTCATTTAATCCAGCTCCTCTCATTTTACAAATGAGGAAATGAAACCACTGAAGGTAAGCGATTTTGCCCAAGGTCACACACAGCTACTAAGTGCCAAGCCTGGATTCCAACACAGGTCTTTTTTGATTCCAAATCCAATTCTTTTTATATCCTGACATTTCAGCATGAAGCTATGGAGCTGGTGCTAGCTATAAATTTGGTCTAGTCTCCAGGGACCCAATAACCATGGCTACATTTGCTGATTCATGGGTCTCAACTAATAAGAGACCTTAAGTCTCAGGGAGCCAAAGGCAATAGAGAGCTTTCACTGAAGAGAAGCCACATCCATTTGAAGTCAAAGATATTGGCCCTTAGGGCATCAAAGACACTAGATAGAGGATCACCAAAAATGGATTCCAGGTATGCCTTGTCCTTTGCCACTTTAGGAATGAGGCTGTCCCACGTTGTGTGATGACTACTATTGATAAACTTGACCCTTCTCTGCAATACAAGGATCTAAGACATCTCCAGAAGCCTTGTGGTGGAAAATGCTATCCACATCCAAAGAAAGAACTATGGAAGTTGAATTGCTATTTTTTTTCTCTTCTGTTGGTTCTGTTTCCTCTTTCTGATGGTTTCTCCTATTGGTTTTAATTTTTACTTAAAACAGCACTAATGTGAAAATATGTTTAATATGAATGTTTGAAAAAAAAAGGAATGAGGCTGTCATTGAGTATAAATTCAGTCCTTCCTGGGGTACCTGTACAACAATGATTTATTAACTCTGAGAATCAAAGAGAATCTCCTGGGGTCTCTGATCACTTACACCATTGACTTCCCTGCGTCTGGAGTGACTGACCTTGGAAGCAAATGCTGCCATTCCAGCACAGGAGCGAGGATCATCATAGGACCCTTGAGGCTGGATAACCCAATTAATTGCTGCTTCTCCTATCTTGAACCAAGCAAACTCCAATCTTCTGCTTCCCTTTGATTCAGAGTTGCTGTTTGATGAGGGAACAATCTCTTCCTCTACAACCTTCTCCTCAACCATCATCCGTATTGACTTAAGACTTCTGGGTCCATATGCTTCTCTGCCCTCCCATGTGGACTTCCCACTGTATCAGCACAATCCTGTTCATGCTAGATATCTATTTCATGTTTTTGGATCTTCTGGAACTGATGAAAACCTAGCTCTGTCCATAAGACACTATAGCTTTAATAAAATGCAGCACCTTGAGAGCAGGCTTCATTATTGTTTTTCTATTCCTGCTCCCTAGAGCAGTGTTCAGCAAATATTAGGTGCTTAATAAATGCTTGTTGACTGATCCTTGATCTTTCTAATACTGATTATTCCTCTAGTGCTAATTGTCACAATGTGTCAAGAAAGGAAATGTATACTCCTTGTTCTTCACTGGTACTTCCAAACTGCTTCCATCACTCAGAAACCTTCTCAGCTTTGAAATTCATTCCATCTGTCTATTCACCCTATCCAGATTGTTGGCCTAATAATAATAATAATAGATAGCATAATTATATAGCACTTTGTTCACAAAGTGCTTTATATATGTTATCTCATTTGATCCTTATTCTATGAGGTAGGTGCTATTAGTGAGGAAAATATGGTTGAGAAAGGTTATTTTCCCAGGGAGACAGTAATAAGCACCTGAGGCAGTATTTGAACTCATCTATCTCGACTCCAAACTTAATGCTCTGTGAAAGCTCTATGAAACCCACCAGCTTCCTATTCATTCTATGTCTTTTCTCAAGGAATTCAGTACTGGGTTTAGTCTTCACCATGACCATTGTTCTAATATCGGTGGACTTCAATAATAATGAACTTTTAAACACTTCAGCCTCCCAGTTCATCAGGGTCTTCAACTTCTTTAGCAAAGAAGACCCATCCTCCTATACATACAGTAATCATTTTCAATGTCACCATTAAACATAACTGTGGTGCCACCATAA